CCGAGGTGGGGTATGGTGAGGCCTGGGGGGCTATGGAGAGGCCTGGGGGGCTATGGAGAGGCCTGGGGGGCTATGGTGAGGCTGTGGGCTACGGCGAGGCCTGGGGGACTATGGTGAGGCCTGGGGGACTATGGAGGCCTGTGGGGCCTCGTCTCAGTCTGCTCATTATTTCTCCTGAGCTCCCAGCACTGTCGGCAACATAATAGATCCCCAAGAAATATCTGTGAGTGAAACGAGTGAATAAATTAATGAATGAAGGAAGGAGTCCGTGAGTTCCAGGGGATTAAGAACTACTTGTTTAGCGAGGCCGACTAAGAGACAGAGACCTCCTTCACACACACACACTCTCTCTCGTCTCTACCTTCAACCCTTCCCCTGGGCTCCTCGATTCAAGGAGGGATGTGGATCACAGCATCGGAAGCCACTCACACTATTACCAAGAGAAAAATCAAACCCATTGCTGTCGAGTCAATTCCACTCATGGCAACCCTATAGAACACAGGAGAACTGCCCCATAGGGTTTCCAAGGCTGTGATCTTTACAGAAGCTGACTGCCACATCTTTCTCCCGTGGAGCGGCTCGTGGGTGTGAACCACTGACCTTTTCGTTAGCAGCTGAGTGCTTAACCATTGCCCCACCTGGGCTCCTTTACTGGCACTATATTAAAAAAACCAAACCCACTGCTGTTGGACTCATAGCGACCCTATAGAACAGAGCAGAACTGCCCCATGGGATTTCCAAGGAGCAGCTAGTGGATTTGAACTGCCGACCTTTCAGTTAGCAGCTGAGCGCTTCACCACTGTGCCACCAGGGCTCCTTTACTGACACTGTGGGCGCTCTCAAATACAACAGGTGTCAATCTGTCAGAGAACCACTGCTGAGTCGTGAATCTTTAACGTACGTACTGCTCAGCATCAAAAAACAGAAGAGAACAAGTCAAGAGTGCTTGGCACCCAGCGAGACTAAGTATCAGACCTGCTGCACATCTGTTTCCACCTCCACCTCTCCAGGCACAGACACGTTCCCACTGTGGGGTGTGTTAGAGAGGTCTGAGGCCACTGCTAGAATGCACCCGTCCCGTTGAAGAGGGGGCACTGGCTTCAGAGGACAGGCAAAGGGGATGAAGACCCACCATGCCCAGGAGGCCCTCAGCCCCCTATGGGGGTCCGGGCCCAGGCCACCCTTGCTCCAGCTCTTCACAGTGTTCCCCAGGAAGGGAAGTGAGGCTGCGGGCTGAGGGTTAGCACTGAAATCCTCCCGAGGCCACAGACCTTGAAGGGGGTCTATAGACAAAGGGGAGCCTTGGGACCCTGCGGAAGGATTTTTCTGGGAGGTGGTTCAGACTGTCACCGGATTCTCTTTGAGTGTGCATGGTTGAGACTCGGGGATGTTGGTTCATCAATGCCTATTCTTTCTCGCCGACTCCCCAGCCTTCCCTACCTCTGGGTCTCCAAGTGTGCTTCCTGGACCAGGGACAGCAGCATCGGCGGCATCTCCTGCAACTTTCTAAACATGCAAATTCTCAGACCTCACCCTTGATGGACTGAATTAGTCCCAGCGCTGACTTGAACAAGGCCTCCAGAGGACTGTCTGGGAATCACTGCTCTGTGCTAGAGGCTGAAAGGCTAGACCTTGATGTCCCAGAGTTCCTTGCAGCTGGGGTGGTCACGTGACAGCGTCCGCTGAAGGAGGGCCTGGGAAGGCATTTGCTTTCCCACAGAAAGGGGGACTTACAGAGCTGCTGTGATCTTTCACTCTCTGCTCCCCTTAGACTATGACAGCCATCTGAGGTCAAGAAGAGGCCAGGAGGAAGGAGCGGGAAGACACAGAGTGCCAGTCTTTGAGGCCTCTGCAGGGCAATGGGTTTCTCTTCATACATGGCCTTCCTGGCCCTGGGTTTGTAGCTCTGCCAAGATGATTTGCTAGGATCCAGTGTTGCCAAGGCACTGGGCAGTTTACTATGCAAATAAGGTACGTAAAACCCTTGCAGGGATTGGTCAATTACTATGCAAACTAGGTGACTGTGGCCTACCAGGGGGATTGGTCAGTTTTGCCATCCAGCTAGGTTTATAAGGGTTAATCCTGCAGAGGTTGGGGGGGACCTTGCTACCATCAAGAAGAACAACCTGGAGCAGAGCGTGTCCTTTGGACCCCGGGTCCCTGTGCTGGGAACCTCCTAGACCCAGGAGAGGGAGCACTAACGCTGAAGATGATGACAGATGGCAAGAGGTAGCAGTGGTGCGAGATGGCAGGAACCAAGGGACCAGTGCAAGACAGCTGTGGTGGGCACCCCTGCCCACGGAGCCGGGGAGCTGAGTGCCTCTGGACGCTTGTCGGTGGAGCTAAAGAGCTGTAACATTTGCCCAAGTGGCAACAGAGGCCAGGCTGAGAGGGGCCTGGCAGCAGAGGTGGCCTCTGGGCAGGACCGAGAAGGGCGGCCTGCCTGTGGACATGGCCGAGAAGCTGAGGGCTGTCTTGGTTGGAAGCTGTCCTGATTAAAAAGCTGCATCCTGTCTCCTGAGTTATTCCTGTTTCTTCCAGGTTGATCCTGAACCTGAGTTGTGGCTGGTGACTTCCCTAATAAACCACATAACCATAAGGAGGGTCTGTGAGTCCTGTGTGGCCACTGCAACGAATTATCGAACCCAGCAGAGAAGCAGAAAGAGCCGTGGGAGGGACTGCTGGTGTCAGAATCAGCAAAAAATTTGGAGAGTGGAGGTACATTCTGATCTCTGCCTCACAGGAACCAGCTTTGGGCTGATGGTGGTTCTCGTTCTCCCCCGACTCCTGACCCCACTAACACCAGCCCTGAGCACGCCCGGCTCTGCCCCTCTCGGGACACTGTTACACCTCCGCCTGTTTAAGCCACTGCGGGTCAGGATTCCTATTACCTCCAGCCAAACACACTGCTAACAGATAGTCTGTGGCCCCCAGAAAGCATAAAAACTACTGGTCTAAGCAGAGAGAGAAGGAAAAGGAGACCAAGGGTAGAGAGAACAGAACCACAGGCAGACGGCACAGAGCCAGCCGGAGGTTTCTCTCCTCGACCTGAGATCCCTGAAGGCTGATGGATGGGCAGCAGGGGGCTGGTCCACGAGCCTCCCCATTCTGTCAGCAAACTAGTGTGTAAACACACAGGCCTGCGCGCATGTTTCTGGGAGGAAGCCCCCTGTCAGGACCGTGGGGGAGGTGGAAGGTGGTCAGGACCCCCTGAAGGCCCCGGAACAGGCGCAGTGCCTTACCTGGAATGCCTTGGTGGGTCGCGGCCGCCCCCGGCTAGGCCTGTGGGGGTGCTGGAGCCCGAGGAGTACAGTTTCGGCCGGTAGCCCTTGTTCTGGCCAGCAACTGCCGGGGCGGGCGAGACCTCCCGTTGTCTGTCTGTGTGGTGGGACCTCCCGGAAGCCTCGCGTCCCCCGCCACAAAGGCCCAGACTTCCTGGGGGCTTGTGCAGCTTGGCGGGCCGAGCCGCCTTGGCCAGGGGCACGCAGCTGGGGCTGGAGGTGTAGAGGGTGGTGTCAATGCCACTGTCACTGGAGCCGCCCTTGGAGAGGGGGTCTTGCTCTGGCTCCAGGGGATCCAGGGGGTCGAACCAGCGATCGTCGCTGTGGCTGCTGGATGCATTGCTGGAGAGGGTATTGCTACTGGAATGACTTGAGTATTGAGGTTCTCCCTGGGGAGGCAAGAGAAATGTGTCATCCCTAGACTCCTTGTGCAGGCGGCATGGGGAGCAGCAGCTGGAGGCAAATCTTCCCTCCCTGGATCCTTCCTACACCTGAGCGGGAACCTGGGAGCCAGACAGCTTTGAATCCTGGCTCCCCCACTTACTGCCTGTGTGACCTTGGGCAACTGATTTAACTTCTCTGTGCCTCCATTTCCGTATGTGTAAAATGGGGGTGATGATAACCCTGCCTCGTGAGGTTGCTGGGAGGAATAAACAAGATCGTGTTTGTAATGGGCTTCCCACAACTCAAACTCAACATCTCCAAAACCGAGCTCCCAATCTCCCCTCCCAAATCTGTTATCCCTGCCTCCTCCCCATCTCAATAACACCGCCTCCTTCCTTCCAGCTGCCCTCTTCAAGAGCCTCTAAGTCACCTGGGACCCATATCCAGTCAAACAGCAAATCCTGTTGGCTTCATCTTCAAAGCAGATCCAGAAGCCGCCATTTCTCCCTCCGTGGCCCCACCATGGTCCTGTGCACTGCCACCTCCTGCTCCTGCCCCTTTCCCCACACACGGCCAGAGGGAGGCTGTGGATCCAGGAGTCAGGGCACGTCCCTGCTCTGCTCAGAACCTCTCCATGGCTCCATCTCACTCAGGATAAAAGTGAGAGTCCCTGCCATGGCCCAAAAGGCCTCATGTTTCGGTCTCTAACTTCATCTCCTCCTTCCTCCCTTTGGCTGACTCGGCTGCAGCCACACTGGCCTCCTCACAGGGTCTTTAGCATACCAGGCATGGCATACCAAAGCCCTCCGTACTTGCTGTTTCCTCTGCCTGCAACGCTCTTTCCTCAGATATTTTCATGGATACTCCTTCACAGCACTCAAGGCTTTGGCTTAAAGGTTACTTCCTCAAACGCCTTCTCTAACTACCCTACCCTAAAGCAACAATGCCTTTTACCCCTTTGCCCTTAACCCGGCTTTGTTTTTTGTTTCATGGCAGGGCTCGGTTTTTGGTGTTATATAACATACCTACTTATCGCTTCTTGCCCCCACTGGATGTCAACTTCCTGAGGACGGGCTCATCTAGTGCTTGTCAGACACCCACTGAACGAATGTATGTGAAGACTGCCAAATGTTCACCAAAACGATCTTCTCCTCCTACTGGACTACATTTCCCAGCTTCCCTTGCAGTTAGGTGTGGTCACATGACAGAGTCCTGGCCAATGCAATGGAAGTGAAGAGACGCAGGGACCCACCAGAGGGCTCTGAGGTGCTGAGGGATAGCAGAGCCACAAAAGGGAAGGAGCCTGGGTTCCTGAATCACTGTGCGGAACGCTGCTTGCTAAATACATTATTTTATTATATGAGAGGGGAACAAACTTCTACTGTGTGAGGCTACTGAGGCTGGAGGAGGTGAAGGGATTTGCTCAAGATGACATGGTTGGTGAGGGCTGGAGCCAGGATGTGGACCTAGCTGGCTCTAGCTTCAGAACCAAGCATTTAGCCCCTCTGCCATAGTGGAAGGTAGAAGCTGTGCTCACCCATGGGTGTTCAGAGGCGCACACCCAGGCCGAGCTGCCCAGCCCAGAGCAGTCAGGGTGGCAGAGGTCCCACAGCCCTGGCTCCCCAGTGGGGCAGGTGGGGCCAGACTCACTTTGGAATGTCTGTTGGGGGAATCTTTGCCTGCTGCATCCTGCCTGGAGGCATGCTTGCTGCTGCTGCTTCCGGTCATGGCTGAGAGCCGGGCCTGGGCGGGAACATGCCACGAGGGCTCTGCAGAAAGACGGGGGACACAGGAGCTATTAGAGGTGACTCAGGCCCTGGCGGAGTCCAGCTGAAGACTCCAGCCCTAAATATGGTTTCACGGTCCCATGCAGCCCCAGCTTGTCTGCTTAGTGCCACGATCTCCCCATCAGCTTCCATCTTGGGGTGTAACAACAATCACAGGGGTATTTACTGAGCGCTTACTATGTGCCAGGCGCCGTCCTAAGTGCTTTATGAGTTAGCTCACTGAAGCCACCCAGCAGTCCACTATCATCCCGAAATGAGGCTGAACACACTCTCATACTTCCTGGCCATTTGGAATTGTCTCTTTTCTAAATTACGTATTCATGTCCTTCACCTATTTTTGTATGGGATAGATTGTCTCTTTTTTTTTAATTTATTATTTTATTATTGTACTTTAAGTGACAGTTTACAATTCAAGTTAGTCTCTCATACAAAAATTTATACATACATTGTTACGTGAGCCTTGTTGCTCTCCCTATACTGTGACAGCACACTCCTCCTTTCCACCCCTGATTTCCCGTGTCCATTCAACCAGCTCCTGACCCTCTCTGCCTTCTCATCTCACCTCCGGACAGGAGCTGCCCGTTTAGTCTCATGTATCTACTTGAGCTAAGAAGCACACTCCTCACAAGCGTCATTTTATGTCCCACAGTCCAGTCTAATCTTTGTCTGAGGAGGTGGCCCCAGGAATGGTTTTAGTTCCAAGTTGACAGAGAGTCCAGGGGCCTAGATTGTGTTTTATATTATTGGTTAGTAGAGTTCTTTTATTATGTGAGGTAGAAATCCAGAAGTTGGTTAAATGTACACAGCTTTTCTTTTAAACAAAAATGGCATCATAGTAAACACTGTTCTACAGCTTGATTCTTCACTTTACAACATATCTACGTTTGCTTTTCACTTTATATCTTCATAATACTTCTTCACATAACTGCACATAACGTTATCTCATTGTAACAGCTGCAGAGTGTTCCACTATGTGGATGTACATCAATTATTTAATCAGTTTCCTACGGACGACTATTGAGGTTATTTTCAGTCGTACCTTGTGATGCCATGGTGGTCTTCCCTCTACATGCAGCTTTGAGCAAGTGCAGGATTGTGACTCAGGCTGAGGTCTACAAGTGGAATTGCTGGTTCAGGGGTAAAGCAGGTTGAAAATTGTGATGGCTGGTGTGGGTGTAAACTGGTCTAAACTTCCACAGAGAGTCATGTGCCTGAATGAGCACCTGACTTTTAAAAAAATCTGAACCCCAGCAAAGGGCGTCGAGTCGGTTCTGACTCACAGTGACCGTGTGTGTGACAGAACGAACCACTGCCCAGTCCCGCGCCATCCTCACAATCATTATGCTTGAGCCCACTGTCGCAGCCACTGTGTCAGTCCATCTCGTTGAAGGTCTTCCTCTTTTTCGCTGACCCTCTACCAAGCATGATGTCCTTCTCCAGGGACTGGTCCCTCTTGATAACACGAGTGTGGGCATTTAGTCGATATTAAAATGAGAAAACGCACCAACTGAGGATTTGCACCCCGGAGGTATAACCCCAGAGCCCAAACCTTCAATCACTGCTGTGTATGGAATAACCATAATGACTATTATTATTAAGCACGTGTCTATGCCAGCACTACTACGTGCATGACCACACTGTACCCTCCCAATAACGCCGCGGGGTGGGTATTTCTATTACCTCCAACAGATGAAGGGGAACATCAAGACTCAAGAGAAGTAACCTGTCCAAGGTCACACAGTCAGAAAGGGCCATGCAGGAACTGGAACTCCAGCCCGTCGGGCTTCAGAGCCTGTGTTCTCAGCCACCGCACCCTCCCCGGGCCTGCCCCGACCGTGGCAACTGCTGGGGGGAAGTGCTTGATGGGCAGGAGCTGTTATTCTCCTGATGATGGGCTGACTCTTGCGCTGAGGGCTGGACAGGCATGATCTCACTGGACTCGAGGTGGACCGCCTCCAAGGTCACACGCTGAGCACGCGGCAGACCCAGAACTTCAAAGCAGGCCTGTCGGAGCCCGAGCTCACAACCACAGCACTGCTGTCTCCAGTCCAACGCCAGGGCCCTGCTGCAAGAGGCAGCCCTGGGAGGCTCAGGGCTGCTGGGAGGATAACCTGGCTGGACTCGGTCAAGGGGTCACTGTGCGTGTGGTTTCCACTTGGGAACCGTGGATACGAGAAAGCTGGGGAGGCTGGCCCCCTCATGCATATATTCTACCTGTGTAGACAATTTTCCTCTTTGGAGCACCCCACACACCTAGGAGGTGCTCGTCCCTGGGGAGGCGCTGCACACTTCTGCAGACTGCCAAGCCCCTGGCAATCGCATCCAGCCTCACGGCGTAAATACCTTCAATGCTCAGGACTCCAACATCTGTCCCCAGCCTGGGCCTCGCCCCTGAGCGGCACGTTCGGGCTGGAGCCAGAACGGGAAGCTGGTTGGCTCTGACTCCAGAATCAAGCAGTCAGCGCCTCTGCGAGAGTGAAGGTGGAAGGTGGGCTTGTGTATTCAGCTGCCTAGAGACACCTCCACTTGGGTGTCTGATGGGCACCTCCCAATGAACGTGGCTGTCACGGTTTGAACTGTGTTCTGCAAAGATGCGTGTCAACTTGGCTGGGCCATGATTCCCGGTATTGTGTGGTTGTCCACCCTTTTGTCATCTGATGTGATTTTCCTATCTGTTGTAAATCCTACCTCTATGATGTTAATGAGGCAGGATTAGAGGCAGTTATGTTAACGAGGCAGGACTCAATCTATAAAATTAGCTTGTATTTTGAGGCGATCTTTTTTGAGACATAAAAGAGAGAAAAGAGCAGAGAGACTTCATGCCACCAAGAATGAAGAATCAAGAGGAAAGTGCATCCTTTGGACCCGGAGTCCCTGTGCTGAGAAGCTCCTAGACCAGGGGGAAGACTGATGACAAGGACCTTCCCCCAGAGCCACCAGAGAGAAAGCCTTCCCAGGAGCTGACACCCCGTATTTGGACTTCTAGCCTCCTAAACTGAGAGAGTAAACGTCCGTTTGTTAAAGCCATCCACCTGTGGTGTTTCGGCTACAGAAGCACTAGGTAACCAAGACAGTGGCCAAAACCAAACTCATCTTCCCCTAAACCTGCATCTCTCAGTCCTCCCTGCCCAGCTTCAGCCTTTCAGCCACTCAGGCAAAAACCCTGTGTCATCCTTGACTCTGCTCTCACCCCACATGCAGGCATCAGGAAATTCTGCCGACTCTACCTTCAAAACACCATATCCAGAACCCACCTGTCCCTCCTCCTCACTGTTCCCAACCTGGCTTTGCTCCTGCCCCACCCGTGAGAGTCTGTAGCTGGAGGGACCCTGTGAACACCTTAGTCAGGTCCCATCCCTTCTCTGCTCAGAAAGCTCCTGTCCCCCACTGAACAAGGGACAAAGTCCTTACCGTGGCCCACAAGGCCCCCCTGCCACTCTGTCCCCATCAGCCCCTGCCCCCCACCACTTCTCCAGCCACACGGCCTCTTCACTGTTGCTCCCCCACCAGACACACTGCGCCCTCAGGGTCTTTGTACAAGCTGTTCTCTCTGCTGGAATGTTCTTCCAGCCTCACCTGAAAAGTAGGTTTCTCAGAGAACCCCCAAGCCTCACGGCCCTCCCTCTGGTCACTGTGTTAGTCCCCACTTTGTAATGAGCACTGCTGGTGATCATGTTATCACTGCTGTGCCCTTCCGTATCATCCATCTGTCTCAGCGGACTGGCCGCTCCAAGAAGGCAGAGGCTGTGTCTGGCTACGCTCTATCCCAGCACCTGGCCTGGGATGCACCGTTAGTAACGTGCTGAACGAATGGATGGATGAAGGGCTACATTTCTGGCCCTCCTAGGCTCCCACATGTCCCCTTGTCCCTGGCTCTGCCTGTGGCAGGCCCCGATCCTTCTGCCTGGGCCCTTCACTGGTCTTCTGGGTTGACCCCCAGCGACCTTCTGGCTCTGCTCCCCAACCCTCGATACGCTGGGCAGGTCACAGATGCGGATACGGCTGCAAGAGGTGCTGAGACCCTGGCAGCTCGGGGTTTCAGGAGGTTTCAGTTCAAATCCCAATTACGCCATTCACCAGCAGGGACCTTGGACAAGTGACTGGACCTTTCTGGGCCACATCTTCCTCGTCTCTGAGACGGGGCAGTCACAATGCCCACTCCATCGCGTTTCAGTGACGACTGAATACAAAGGCACGCAGAGTGCCTGGTACAGTGCCTGCTGTGTAGCTGGCACAGAGTGGTGGTATCGTTACCAGGACTGCTGGCATGATTATCAGCGGGTCAGGGCCAGGCACACCCCTGACCAGCCTCCCTGCCCCCTGCCACTGGAATACCTTTCTTCTGGGCTGCGGACACATTCTGGGCCTCGTGATTATTTCCAAACGCAGGCTGCCCTGATATGAGTGTGGGGGGGGGGGGCAGGGGGCGGGGGAGAGGGCTAGTCAACTTAGAACAAGGTCCCAAGGAAATGAGAGGGGAACCATGGCACGCTCTAGGGGACAGAAGAGAGGAGAAGGGAGGAACACCGGTGAGTTCCTGTGACCCCTTATTTAGGGTCCCCGCTGAATGCTGGAAACATGTGCCCCGTTTTACACTTTGGCATCATGGAATCACCAAGCAACACTTTCCTCTGTTTTCTGAACTAGAGTGGGGGAAAAAAAAGATCTTAATCTGTCTTGGAGCAAAGATGCCAGAACTGCAGGCAGCGACAGGCAGGACCGAGGAGGCTGAGAGGAGCAAACTGTGTCTGCAGGCCCCGAGGCAGCAGAAGAGGGGGCAGGCTTAGGGGTGCGGCCAGCCTGGCTGAGGCCCGACCATTTCCCGGGGTTGAAGGCGACTGGCGGCTGGCGGCTGGGGTGCTGAGGAATTCTCCAGGCCACTAATCCCACCCCGGTGGTGCCTGAGGGTCCCGACCTCTCTGTTGTGGAGGATGAAGGAGTTGGCCAGGTGCTGACAGGGTCACCCCCACCCCCTGCCCCAGCTGCCCTGAAATCCTCTAACAGCCCCTAAGAGGACACTTCCATCCCTCCCCGCTCCGATGTCAATGCTTCCTAACACTTTATGATTTTTTTTCTTTTGAACCTACCCACCCACTCACCCATTCATCTGGTGGCTCTCAGACTTCAAAGGGGTTACACAGTTGTTACGTGAAATCATGTTTAAAAAATTCACCTAGGCAGTACACACCAAGCTAAAAAGCTGTGGCTGTTGAGTTGATTCCAACTCATAGTGACCCTACGGGACAGAGCAGAACGGCCCCAGAGGGTTTCCGAGCAGCAGCTAGCGGATTCAAACTGCCGACCTTTTGGTGAGCAGACAAGCTCTTAAGCAGTACATAGGTATGATTAACAAACACACATAAGAGAATAACAGACGGAAGATGCTCAGCCTCCTTGGACATCAGGAAAAGGCGAATCAGAAACAGTGCAGTACCGCCGCACACCCACTAGGGCAGGCGAGACATAAAGGACAGGCCACACGAGTGACAGGTGAGGACGTGCAGCAGCTACGGCCCTCACGGGGGAGCGTCACCGCCACAGCCACGTCAGAGCGAAGCTCGGCAGCTTCTTGTAAAGCTGAACGTGCCTTACACGTGACGCGGCAATTCCACTCTGAGGTGTAAACCCCACAGAACTGCGTGCGTCTGCTCCTCAAGGACGTGTACGGGAACGCTCCTCCGGCAGCACTACCGTGAGCAGTCTCGAGGCGGAAATACCCCAAACGTCCATCAGTGCGACGGTGGAGTGATACACCGTGGTCCGTTCTTACCGCGAGGTACTGCTCACGAACTGCATGGCTGCACACCATCACACCGCTGACTCTTGCACGCATAACTGGGCCACAGAAGCTGGACACGGACACACACACACACACACACACACACACACACACACACACACACCACACACACCCACACCCACACCCCCACACCCCCACACCCACACACCCACACACACACACACACACGACGCAAACCCTGGATTCCAGTCTCTATATACAGAAAATGCCAAACCAGGCCAGGGTAAGGCACGTCGTCAGAAGCAGGACAGGGGCGGCCTCTGGGGCTACTGGCTGCGAGGGGCACGTGGGGGGCCTCTTCAGCTTGTCATGGTCCATTTCCTGCTCTGGGTGTGTTCATTTTGTGACATGTTATCAAGCTGTATGCTAATGAGTTATATGTCCATGAAAAAAACAAAAAGGAGAGTTTTATGTAAACAAAAGCCGTGTTTGATAAATGCATTAATTGTGGGGAAAAAAAAGAGGAACGCCGTAGAATGCAGCCAGTCCTGCTCCCTGAGAGCAGCACCTTCACCCCTTTCCACTGATCTTCCCAGTGGTTCCTGCTTCACACCGTCCATGTGTCTGTGCTCTGGACCTCTCCGCTTCAGACCCCCTGCTGATGCCCTGCCTGGCTGGATGCGACTCGGGCTCACCCACAGTCTCCCTCTGCTCCCTGGCTGTCCTCTCTAGCCTGATGTGTAGCTCTGACAGCTGTCTCTTGTGTTTTATCTGTCACTGACAGGACGGGGGCGTGTCACCTGTCAAAACCGTAAGAGGTGGTTCGGGGCCAGGCGGGCGCAGCTGGCCTGGGAGGCCCTACCTGGCTTCTGGCGCTCCATGGTGCTCTCCTGGCTGGTCAGGCCGCCTGACGAGGAATCACCGCTGGACGGCCCATCGGGGGCAAAGTGGGAATCGAAGGACAGCAGCGGGTGTGGCACGGCTGCATACCTGCAGGGGAGCAACAGGAAGCAAGACATGTGAGGGACTGGGGTGTCCAAAAGGGTCTGCACCTGAACCCTGCTCACGCGGAGGCTCCGCCGTGGCGAAGGGGGAGAAAGCTGCTGGCAGGCTGGGTGAGTACGCCGGGGAACGTGCAATTAACGGAAGGTCAGGAGTGTTGAGTCTTGCCGGGAAAGCACGCCAGGGAGCAGTGGAGGCGGGAAGTGCGGGGTGAGGTGGGGGCATCAAGGAAGGAGGGGACAGCAGCCACACGGGCCTACCATCCTGCCAGCCACGGGCTCCTCAAGGGTCCTGTGGGGTGAAATGGGGTGACCTGCTGTCAGCAGCTACGATTCCAGGCCTGTCTAGGCGTCTCCTTTTCTCCACTGGAGAGAGGCAGGATAATGGAGCATTTGTAAGCACAGGGGGCCTGGAGCTGGAAGGGTTGGGGTTCCAGCCTCACCACTGCCTCTTGCCCACTGGGAAGTCATCACTTCCTAGTCCCAAGCCTCAGCTTCCCTACTTGTCAAAAGGAGCTGACACGAGGCCCTGCCTCACAGACTGAATGACATCTCATGTGCCCAGTGCACAGCCTGGGGCTGGCACACGACGCGCTGTGAGAACTGACCAACAGGCTAGGACTCCGGGTCTCTGCTGGAGCAAGGCACCACAGGGCGAAGTGCTGGCTTCAGAATGGGGCATATCTGGATTCACACCCCAGCTCCGTCCCTTACTAGCTATGTGCCCTTGACCAGGGAAGTACTCCTGTAGCTGAGCCACAGTTTGCCCATCTGTAAAATGGGGTCGACATCTTCTACCTGACAGGGCTGTGAGCGGATGAGATGAGATCAGAAAGTTACCTCCAAGACAGAGATTCTCCTGGAGGCCGCCTCTGCACGCCCAGCTCTCCCCAGAGGCAAGGGCCAAGATGTCAGGGGAGGCGGCAGCAGAAGGTTCTCCTCTGGCCTCACGTCCCTGCGGCAGTCCCTGAACCCATGGCTGACTCTCAGTGTTCATTCCACCCCAGATCAGTGCCAGTCAGGGTCGGAGCCCCCGCCCTGCCTGAGACACAACGACACAACCGTGGCCAATGAGATGAGAGGGCACGAGTCGCGAACATTTCCACAAAGTCCCTCTGGCTCTCCGCCTTTCAGGCTCCTTGTGATTGGCCGGGTGGGGGCCCATGACTAGCTCTCGTCAGCGACTGGGAGAGAAGTGACTTGGCGATGGTGGCTGCCCGGGTAGCCTGGGTCCCGAAAGGCCGCCTGCTCACCAACCATGGAAACACTGAGTAGGTGAGAAGTCAACCTCTGTTGATTTGAGTCGCTGAGAGTCTGAGGGGCTGTTACTCAGCATAACCTCTATGAAATGGGGGGAGCCTGCTGGGAGGCCTCCCAAAAAAGTCTCCTTGCTCCCGAGACATAAGATGAGAACAAACGGTCTCTTCTCTTCCTCTAGTTGTTGCTGAGCCAGGTGTAATCCATAAGCCGCTGTTGCTCTCTTGCTACCAGCCTGAGGACAACGCTAACACTGAGGGTGGCAGAGAGGAGAGATGGAAGGAAATGGACCCTTGATAAGGTGGGTGAGACCCTGGATTAAATCTCCCTGGAGCCTGCCCTGCCCCTGAACTTCCTTTTCCGGGAGGTAACAAATTCCTACAACGCTTCAGCAGTCAAATTTGGTTACTTGCAGCCAGAAGCACTTCAACGACATACATGCTATACTCTGGGGAGTTACTGAGCCTCTATTAAACATTAACAAAGCTAATACTGTGACTCCCTACATGGCTGCTTGTGTCTATAGTTTCAACCTGGGCAGACCTGGAGGGGAGAAGAGTTGATAAACTGGGACCCCCAAGACCCACAAGAGAAGTGAACTGACTTCTCCAGGGTGACTCTGCTAGCTCAAAACCAGGGCTGTCTCTACAAAGACCAAGCTCTAAACCCCTAGGTGTTAACAACTCCAGGACAGCAGAGGGGTGTTGCCGAGTGCACTGGACTTTCTGCCAACTCAACCCTACTCACCTGCCAATCAAATACCTATTATCCCCCCACCCACTAGACCTCGACCTCTAAAATGCCCTCGGAAAAGAAAGATGGAGCCAGAACTCAATACGAAACGCGAGAAGTTAATTCTTAGTTTTCTTAACATCCGAGGTCTCAGTTAGTGGCAATTTAAGGAATTCTGTCACAGCGACTTTGACTATAAGCAATCTTCATCTTACTGGCTAACGTGGCACCCAGCCACCTGGCAAAACGTGGCTCTGCCACAGCTGGAAATTGAAGTGTTGAGGTGTTTGGTTTTCTCAAAATGTCTGTATCAAATCCAGGGTTCTAAAGGAAAACGGCAGCAGTGGCTGGGAGGCCACCCGGGGAGAGTGGACGGTTCGAGTGGTAGACACTGCAGCTGCTTCCCCGGTATCAATTCTTTCCTCCTCCTTGGTAATAGAATTGCGGTTGAATTTGGGGCCGCAATGTGATTGTTAACAGGCCACATTTCCCAGCCTCCCTTGCAGTTCTGGCCCATGAGATAAAAGTGAGCGTTGCACACAAGTTCTGGAAAACCTCCTTGCAAGCATGCCGCGGTGTGCCTTTTCATCTCCTCCTGGACTGGAGCAGCCATGTTGGACCAGGAGGCACCAGGCAAGGATGGCAGGGCATGAGAGAAAAGGAGCCTGGTCCCCGACAATCTGGGAGAGAGAAATAAACCACTATCTCGCCTGAACCACTGTTATTTGGGCTTTTCTGTATTACACAGCTAAACCTAATCCTAACCGATACACCATCTTTAGCTGGACATATTTAACCATGTTCTATCTTTCAGCTGAAGGAGTTCTAGTGGCGCAATGGTTAAGCGCTCAGCTGCTAACCAAAAGATTGGCGGTTCGAACCTACCCAGTGGCTCCTCGGGAGAAAGACCCGGTGATCTGCTTCTGTAAAGATTACAGCCAAGAAAACCCTATGGAGCAGTTCTTTTTTGTCACACGGGGTTGTTATGAGTTGGAATTGACTTGACATATCCAACACCAACCACCCGTCAGCTACTGCCCCCAATCAAGACAAACTGTACTTTATGCAATCATGTAATTTTCTTACTAACAAGCCTTCTAATTGTTCCAGTGCAAACTGGCTGACCTGTGTTGACCATTCATTAGGATGCTGACTGTGCCCCATTTGGGATCACTTCTATTGCTGCCAAATTTGGTCAAGCTGATTGAAAATCAGGACACCTCAGCATCTCCCCAGGCACAGCTCTGGGCAAACGTTTCTGGAACAAGAGAGGATCCAACATCTGTCTTTAACCTCATGTAAGAGACCTTAAAGTAACTTCTCTATCTTTTCTCAGAAGATAAAATCACTTCAGAGATAAAGGGTGTGGGCTTTTGGAGAGGAGCCAGTTGCAGTTCCAGGCGACTCCAGGCAGAAGCTGGATGGACTGCCTGGGAAGTCCAGGGTCGGGGTACCATCAAGTTAGCAGGGGCTGGCTGCTGGCTGCTGGCTTGAGCTTCCCACTCAGCCACAGAGGAAGGTACCAACACAGATGTGAATGTGGGCAAGGGCCTCACCCGATCACCTGAGGGTAGGGCTCGGCCCGCTCTGTCAATCGCCTTCACTGACTGATTGGACAATGGGGGTGAGTTATAGGATGGCTGGGCAAAAGGGTGAGCCGATGATGGAGCCTTTGTTGGCTACCTCCCCAACAGCCATCTTCTTTTTGCCTGCTGGTGGGGCCCAGATTCCTCTGGGGATCAGCCCTCTGCCACGGGACCTGAGTCAATGCTAACACTCCAAGATAGGCATAGGGGTCCAGTGCAGTCTGGGGTTGCTTCAAGGTTGGGCAAGCGATCCAGTTCTGGGGAAAGTGTCTTCCCTCTGAGGAACAAAGAGAAGCCCTTCTCTCGTCTTTTGCAGGGCACTGGGCACTGTTTTTGCTTGGGGCTACAGTAGCCATCATGGGGTCATGAGTGTAGCCAGGTTGCTAAGGGCATCCCAGAGCTGCATTCACTAGCCCCAGGGCCGCCTACCTCTGGACATAAGTCCCCTTAGTGCTTCATGCCTTCTTGGGTTAGATTTTCTGTCACCTGCAGCCAAATGCCTCCTAATTGATGTACCAATCTTTATGGAGAGGGCAGAAAAGAAATAGAAGGGAAAAAGAAAAAAAAAAGAAAAAGCCACCCAAGTGGCCTGATAAGCGAATGGCTGGCCCCAGTCCAGTCCTGCAGGCTTTCCAAGCCGGGCACACGGCTCTGTCCCAATGGTCTCTACTGAGCGTGGTGGTCTGCTCAGTTTGTACACGAAGGGGGCAAACTCCTGAGGATAGGGACAGCAACTGGCTGGCCTCTGTGCCTGGCTGCCAGCAAGGCCCAGGCACTCAGCAGTCACATTTATAACCCTTATGTAGATGACACAAGCTTGCTTGCTGAAAGGGAAGAGAACTTGAAGCACTTACTGATGAAGATCAAAGACCACAGCCTTTGGAATGGATTACACCTCAACATAAGGAAAACACAAATCCTCACAACTGGACCACTAAGCAACATCATGATAAATGGATAAAAGACTGAAGTTGCCAAGGATTTCATGTTACTTGGATTCACAGTCAATGCCAATGGAAGCCGCAGTCAAGAAATAAAACAATGCATTGCATTGGGCAAATCTGCTACAAGATACCTCTATAAAGTGTTAAAAAGCAAAGCTGTCACTTTAAGGACCAAAGTGCGCCTGACCAGGCCATGGTGTTTTCAATCGCCTCGTACGCATGTGAAAGCTGGACAACGAATAAGGAAGACTGAAGAGGAATTGATGCCTTGGAATTATGGTGCTGGTGAAGAATACTGAATATACCATGAACTGACAGAAGTACGAACAGGTCTGTCTTGGAAGAAGCACAGCAAGAATGCTCCTTACAAGCAAGGATGGCGAGACGACGTCTCACGTACTTTGGACATGTTGTCAGGAGGGACCAGTCCCTGGAGAAGGACATCATGCTTGGTAAAGTAGAGGGTCAGCGAAAAAGAGGAAGACCCTCAACGAGATGGACTGACGCAGTGGCTGCAACAACGGGCTCAAGCACAACAACGACTGTGAGGATGGCGCAGGACCGGGCAGGGTTTCATTCTGCTGCACACAGGGTCGCTGTGAGTTGCAACTGACTTGATGGCACCTAACAACAACAACAATGGAGCACTTACTATGTGCCAGGCGTAGCTCTACGAGCTCCATATGGTTCACCTCCCTTAATCTTCACAGCAACGCTCAGAGGCAGACACTTGACACGTGAAAAAATGGAAGTGCAGAGAGGTGAGTCACTCACCTGAGCTTGCACAGTTAAGAGGCAGGGCCTGGTTTTGAACTCTTAACCAGCATGCCACTGTGCCTCCTGGTAAATTTAAGATGGGCCATGGGACAGGTTCTGTCAAGGAGGGCCTTCGTGCTCCTAAAAGCTGGATGAACTCAGCAAGGAGGCCTGCCTCAGAGGACAGCAGAAGACAGGAGTTCAGAGGGGCCAACGGTCCCTGGCTGGGCTGGAATGCCCAACTTGGGCCTCAAAGGCTCAAGGATGTCACAGGACAACTCTGTAGCAGGAAAAGGCAAAAGGCCTTGACCTCTTCCTGTGGCCGTGACCAGCCCGGAGTGACACTTCTGGGGGTTTAGGGGGTGAGGTGTGCTCGCAACACTTGGCAAAATTCAGAACGCAGCTGTTGATGGAGATACTGTACTACAGTCATGTAAGACTCGGGGAGGCCGGGAGAAGGGTGCATGGGACCTCCCTGGACATTTCTTTGCGACTTCCCATGAATCTAAAATTATTTTAAAATAAAAGGCTTTAAAGAATAAGAATAAAACAGGAGCACCAAGACTTTGGGGGAGAAAACGCTCCCAGGAGTTATCAGTCACATCGTCCACACCACCTGTCATCTGCTAATCACTTCACATCAAGTGCCACCCACAGCCTCGACTCTTGCTGTGCCCAGGTGCCCCCGCACCCCCACCCCCATTCCTCACACACCAGGCCTCTCTCCTTCCCTCCTCCGTTCCGTGCTGCTGCCTTCTTTATTCCCAGCTGTGGACTTTGCACTGTCTGCAGTGAGTCCCCTCTGCCAGCCAGCTAATGCTCATTCTCCAGGCCCCGCTCACCTGCCACCTGGTCGGCCAGCGGCCCTCAGCTCTGGGCTGGGCTCTGGCTCCCTTCTCCGAGCTCTCAGTCCACCAGAGCTGGTCACAGTGCACGGCCTCCGAGACCCTCTCTCCACCAAGCGTCCCGAGAACAGGAATCCCTAGTAACCGAGCATTTCAAACCTCTCCCAGCCCCCAGCACACAGCGGGTCGCAGGACTCTCTGCTGAATGAAAGCTGACCGAGGCCACTACAAAATGAGAGAGCAGGCATGCCCTCCTGATTTCCACAGTGGACACTTGGAACCAAACGAAGCTTCAGTGCAGGGGCTCTCAGAGTGCGCTCCCTGGCTGGGCAGCACAAGCGTCGCACGCTCTCCTTCGGACTCGAGTCAGACTCCAGGGGCGAGGCCCGATAATTTGTCCTTTAATGAGCCCTCCGGGTGATTCTGATGCACACTAAAGGCGGAGAATCACTGCGCTAGTGGGCTGACCCCTGGCCTTAGGGCAGGTGGTCTCGTTTAAACAAGCTCACACACTCCATCCTTTCCCTGCACACCAAATATACGCTAAGTGTCTACCACGCACCAGGCCCTGTACTGTCAGGCGGAAACACAGAGATGACCTGGAAAGGCCCCAGCCTGGAGAGCAAGCTCATTCGCACGCTCTCTGTGTGCGCCACACACATGCTTAACTGGGCCAAAAGAATGGCGAGCGCTCAGACCACATCAGGAAATGCACTGCGGGGCACAGCAGCAGCACCTCGCCTGGTGCTGGGGGGAGGATCGGATCAGGGAAGGCTTCCTGGGGAAGCAGCTTCGAAGCTCCAGTTGGCAGAGTGGGGGTGGGGGGAGGAGTGAGAAGGACACAGGTGGGGGTTCTGAAATGCAGTCTACCTAGGAAACTGGCAGGGGTCAGTGTGGCTGGAGAGGTGGGCTGGGCCTCGCTGGCCACGGTGAGGGGGAGGGGGCCGGGCCTCGCTGGCCACGGTGAGGGGCGGGGGCTGTGTCCCGAGGGCTCCAAGAGACACAGGAGGGCTTGGAGCAGGGGACAGATGTGGCCAGAAGTAGAAAGATTCCTCTGGCTGCTTAGTGGAGAGTGGACCAGAGGTGAGACTGGAGGCCGGGAGCCCAGGGAGGTGGCCAGGGTGGGGCTAGGGCCAGGGCAGGAGAGCTGCTCAGAAGGCTGAGTGGACGGACCACGGGGATGCAGGTAAAAGGAAGGCTTCAGGGCCAAGCCTGCGGCTCTGGCCTGGGGACACGGGAATGGTGGAGCCGTCCTGAGAAAGGGAGCTGGGAGGAGGACCGGTGTAGTGCACAGGGCTGCAGGCACTAGAGAGCGAGCTCAGCTGGGGCCAGATCCTGCAGGGTCTTGACCATCAGTCTGCACAGCTTGGGTTTATCCTGAGGGCATTGGGGGGCCATGGAGAGCTTGGGGTGATCCTTGGGCTGCCAGGCTGATTGAGGTAGGGTGGATCCAAGGGGGAAGGGCCGAAGCTGCAGAGTTAAATGAAGGCTGTGCCGGACGGCGGATGGTCTTGCTCAAATGTGCCCCAAGGGTCAAGAAAACAGCAACCGCAGTTCTGACGCCAGAAAGCCAGTCATGAGTCCTGCGCAGCCTGGCCCTCAACCTTAATCCGAGATAGAGCCAGGGCCCTGGGGTGGGGGCAGGGAGGAGGGGTCCTCTGATGGCTTTCAGGGGTCCAGAAACCCCACAGAATGGCATATAAAACTGCGGAGTGCGTGCATCTCCTGGGGAAGACGGGTCCATAGCTTTCACGAGACCCCTTAATTTGAAAAGAGTGAAGAGATTCTGACCTTTCTGGCGATGGCTTGTATCTTGCGTAGGTGGTAGAGCCGGGGGTGGAGAAGCTCCCAGAAGGCTGTCGGTAGGGAGGGACTCTGTCGGCCCCTGCTGGTGATGCTGTGTAAGGGGTTTCCGGGAAGCTGACAGGCCTGGAACAAGAGAGAGGAGGGAGGAAGGAGGCGTGCAGGTTGAGCAAGAGAATACCCCTGATCTCAGAGAGGACAGACTGTTCCCTCAAGGCCAACCACGTCCCATTTGCTATCCCCCTGGAGATGGAGAGATGGCTGCTGAGCAGAGGCGGTGGGAAGCTGCCCTCCCTCCTTCTGCTGCTGCTGCTGCTCCCACCCCTTAGCCTCTGCAGCTGTGCCAGGCGCTGCCGCCGAAGACCGTTCTCCCCCGACTGCTGGGGTGGATCCCCCGACTTCTGGGCTGGGTCCCCCAACTCCTGGGGCGAGACGCTGCTCTGTAAGCTGGAATGCTTTTTTTTAAACCTCTCTATCTTTTAATATACTATATAATATATTCAAAAAATATCTGTAAGTCATACAGCATGAAAACAAAGCAAACCTGGGAACACACCACACAGCACGGAAACTAGAATAGGGCAATACCTCCTATGTACCTGAGTGCTTTTCCCCCTCCCACCGCCCTGCTTCCCCCAGGAAGTAACCAACATGCTCAGTTTTATGCTTCTCAGTCCCTTATACTGTTTACCATTTTAATCACATACATGGTAGGTCTCAGACCTCAGACCCTGAGCTCTCTAGCACTGAGCCCTTGCACCCAGCAAGGCCCACAACGAACACTTCGGGGGGAAGGAGGGAGGGGGGAAGGAGGGAGGGAGGAAGGGAGGGAAAGAGGGAGACAGGCAGCAAGGTGGAACGGTGGGAGGCGTAAGAGCAAGAGGGAAGGGAAGGACTGAGGCCAGGAAGAGAACGGAGGAAAGGCAGGAGAGGAGAGAGGCCGGGAAGGGGAGGATACAGGCGGAGGGTGGGAGGGATGTCCTTACCTCTTGCTGTGCAGTGGCTGGGACTCCCGGAAGGGGACCATGGGGGTCTGCTTCGGGGGCCGGCTCAGGGACTGGGCGTGGCCAGGGGTGGCTGGTGCAGCCCACTTGGAGGCTGGTATAGAGTTGTGGGATGCGGGCCCGCTCCACTGCCAGGGGGCATTGCTGCGGTAAGGGGGCCGGCTCCCAGGGGTCACGCTCTCTGGCTCTGTCTTGGGCTCTGAGGTATTCATGTCATAGGTCTCTGGCCACCCCCTGCGAAGAAAAACAGGCGTTAGTCAGAAAGGCCCAGCGGCCAGCACACACCCCCCCGCTGTCTGTCGGGGAGAGACTTTCTGCTCTGTACCACCTGGCAGGGTTGCCTGACCACACTGAGCCGTGCTGCTTACTTTAAAGGCAGAGGGGACGGCCCTTGAAAGTGGTCTGACGCCTACCAGCTCAGAGTACTCAACCAGGACAAGGCTGGACAGCGGGCCACAAGAGCCTGGCCTCTCTACCTCATCTCCTCCCTCTTCCTCCCATTCTGCCTTCCTCTCCCTCCTCCCTGGCCCAGACCTCAAGTCGGCCAGAGTCCTCCACAGTCACTCAGCCCCCCTTGGCGGCACTTGGGCCCGAAAAGCGGATGCCCTCAGATTCAAAGGACAGTATCTGCCTTGTTCCAAAGAAGCTCAAAGGCAGCTGGAAGGGAAGCAGGTGACCTACTTTGCAGGTTTTTCTTTTGTTTTTTTTGGAAAGCCACGAAATCCAGAACCTTGAAATAGCTGCGGAGTAGCCTGTGAGTCCCCCCAGACCAGGCTGGCACCTGCACGGCAGTTCCCCGGCTTGAGGTGGGCGGGCAGGGGCTCCCCACTGCTGCTGCACCGCGGCTCGGAGGGGCTCTGAGCCCGAGAGGCCGTGTGCGTGTCCCCCTCCCAGCAGTGCGGGAGCTGAGCTCTGGGGCACTCTCAGCCCTGCCCCGCTAGACCCCTGTGCGCTTCTGGGGCCCAGAAAGCTTGCATGGACACCCGGTAAGGACTCTGGTGGACCTGGTGGCTCAGAGGCTGTGGTCCATGACACAGCTACCGAGGACGATGCGCTCTGAGACCTGGGCTGGGCTGATTTTCAGCCATTCTTGGGGTTGGTAGGCCCGATGCCTCCCCGGTTACCACCTCGGCTAGGAGAACAATGCAGTGTCTAACAGAGCCTGTTGAGCTACATAGCCTGGCCAGAGGCAGAGGCAGGTACCCTCAGCACCCCGGGCGGCGCACACCTGCTCTTCCTGCCTGCCCAGCTTCTACCCCCTTCTCCTGACAACAGGTCTGTGTGCTCTGGGTGGGGCTGGCTCCATTTCCTGGCTCCAAGCATAAGCATGTGACTCAGGCTTGGCCAATCAGAAATGTCTCTCCCTCTGGCCATGAAGATTGGTGCAGGGATGTCACGTGCCCTCAATGGGGCCAATCAGAGCCAATGAGCATCAGTGCTGCCACTTTCTTGGGAACTACTTGGGGGGAATATCTATTTCTGATGGGGCTGTTGAGCTGGGGGGTGGGGGTGGGCCTGGGCTTAGCTCTGTGTGTGTGTGGGAGGGGGAAGGGTCATCTTTGGCCTTACGAGGTGAGAGTCTGCCTGAGAATGACTCCAACAGAGAAAAGGAGACACATGAAGATTCCTCTTGAGGTCGTGTGAGGCCCTGGAGACAGCTGTGCCTGTCTCTTCCTGTCTCCTAGTCTTGTTAGTCACAGGAGCCTGTGAAGTCCCCGCTTTGCTCCACGTTTTGAATCTGTTCTGTTGCTGATAACCAGCGTCCCGCTGAAAATATCACATTTTAGAATTAAGTAAATTGAGGCACAGAGAAGTTAAGCAACCTGTCCAAGATCACACAGCCAGTTGTTACATGCCGTCTAGTCGGTTCCGACTCATAAAAGAATAGAACGAAACACCGCCCAGTCCTGCGCCATCCTCACAATCGTTACGATTGAGCCTATCGTTACCGTCACTGTGTTAGTCCATCTCATTGAGGGTCTTCCTTTTTCTCGGACCCTTACTTTACCAAGCATGATGTCCTTTTCCAGGGACTGGTTCCTCCTGATAACATGCCCAAAGTGCGTGAGATGAAGTCTCCCCATCCTTGCTTCTAAGGAGCATTCTGGCTGTACTTCTTCCAAGACAGATTTGTTCGTTCTTCTGGCAGTCCACAGTATATTAAACATTCTTCGCCAACACCATAATTCAAAGGTATCAATTCTTCCTCGGTCTTCCATAGTCATCATCCAGCTTTCACATGCATATGAGATAACTGAAAATACCATGGCTTAGGTCAGGTGTACTTTAGTCTTTAAAGTGACATCTTTGCTTTTTAACAGTTTAAAGAGGTATCTTGCAGCAGATTCGCTCAATGCATCTTTTAATTTCTTGACTGCTGCTGCCATGGGTGTTGACTGTGGATCCAAGTAAAATGAAATCCTTGACAACTTCTATCTTTTCTCCATTTATCATGATGTTGCATATTGGTCCAGTTGTGAGGATTTGTGTTTTCTTTATGTTGAGGTGTAATCCATACTGAAGGCTGTAGTCTGTAATCTTCAGCAGTTTAAGTGCTTCAAGTCCTCTTCACTTTCAGCAAGCAAGGTTGTGTGATCTGCGTAATGCAGGTTGTTAATGAGTCTTCCTCCGATCCTGAAGCCCCATTCTTCTTCATATAGTTCAGCTTCTCAGGATATTTGTTCAGCATACAGACTGAATAGGTATGGTGAAAGGATACAACCCTGATGCACACCTTTCATGACTTTAAACCACAAGATATCCCCTTGTTCTGTCCGAACAACTGCCTCTTCGTCTCTGTACAGGTTCCACATGGGCACAATTAAGTGTTCTGGAATTCCCATTCTTTGCAATGTTATCCATAATTTGTTATGATCCACAGAGTCGAATGCCTTTGCATAGTCAATAAAACACGGGTAAACATCTTTCTGCTATTCTCTGCTTTCAGCCAGGATCCATCTGACATTGGTAATGATATCCCTTGTTCCATGTCCTCTTCTGAATTTGGCTTGACTTTCTGGCAGTTCCCTGTTGATGTACTGCTGCAACCATTTTTGAATGATCTTTAGCAAAATTTTACTTGTGTGTGATATTAATGATACTGTTTGACAATTTCCACATTCTGTTGGATCACCTTTCTTTGGAATCGGCACAAATATGGATCTCTTCCAGTCGGCTGGCCAGGTAGCTGTCTTCCAAATCACAAAGCCAGTAAGAAGTGGAAATAGGGTTTCAACGCAGTGAATTGACTCCAAAGCCCACAGCCTTAACCAACCATGCAGACCGTCCACTTGGAAGGAGCTTCAGACGAGCAGGTGAGTTTCTTCTGACTGCTCTCCCTGGGCCAGGAGACCCTGGGCACGATCTCCAGAGGGAAATATCATCCCTGTTCATGGGCCAGCCTGGTCTACACTGCTCTGCATCTGTTCCAAGGTCCTGGCTTTCATGGTCCAGTCATCTCGAAGGCAGCACAGAGTGGTGGGGACGCCGGGCTCCTGGGTCAGTCTGCTGGTTCAGATCCCAGCTCTGCCACTTGCCACCTGCATGGCCTGGCTGAGTGATTTCCTTCTCAGAGCCTCAGTTTCCTAATCTGTGAGATGGGGGTGGTCCCCACTTCACAGTGTGGTTGTGAGCATTCTATGAGTGTCAGCAGAGCCTGGCATTCCAAGTGCTTAAGAAGCCAGAGCCAGTGGTCTTCTCCTGTCGATTCCCTGGACAGTCCATCTGCTATTCCCACCTGCTTACAAGCAGAAGTCCCCCTTCCACTTCCTGAAGTCCAGCTGCACCTGCCTGGGGCTCTGGAACAAGTCCTCCCCAGCTCCTCCTCCCCAGCGTTCCCCAGTGGTCTGACAAACACCAGCATCGGAGCCATCTGGACTCCTCATACAGAAATCCAAATTCCTGGGCCCCACCCAGATCATCTGAAGCAGAATCTCCACCCTGGAGATGGGGCCCAGGAATCCTCATTTTACCAAGCTGCCTGTGATGTTTCTGACATACACACACACTGAAGTTTGAGAAGTCCTACCTTCATTTATTTAGTTTTTCAAATTGTTTTTAAGGATTAACGCATATAAAAGGATATCGAGTGAAAAGTCAAGCTCCCCTATCCATGCCTGCCCTGTTTCACCCACCAGAAGCAACCACCGATTCCAGCTTCCATGTATTCTTTCAGAAACATCCTATGCAGAGAAGCAAACAGTGTTTAAAATAGTAATAAAAAGACTAGCACACTATACCCCGGTATAGCATCTTGCTTTTCTACCTCCAATAAACAATACTTCTTCCCCTTCTGTGCTGGATTGAACTGTGTCCCCCCAAAATATCTGTCAGCTTGGCTGGTCAAGATGCCCAGCTTTGTGTAACTGTGTACCATTTTGTGGTCTGGTGTGATTTCCTTGTGCGTTGTGGACTCTATGTGGTGGGATGGATTGGCGGCGGTTGTGCTGATGAGGTCTACGTGATTGGGTGGTGTCTTAAGCCAGTCTCTTCTGAGATATGGGGGAGACGGGGCAAGCAGAGAGATGTGGGGACCTCACACCACCAAGAAGGCAGTGCCGGGAGCACAGCGCATCCTTTGGACCTGAGGTTCCTGCACTGAGATGCTCCGAGACCAAGGGAAGACTGATGCATCACAAGGACCTTCCTCCAGAGCCGACAGAGAGAGAGCCTTCCCCTGGAGCCGGCGCCCTGAATTCAGCGCCTGCTGGACCGTGAGAGAATAAACTTCTCTTTGTTAAGAGCCATCTACTTGTGGTATTTCTGTTATGGCAGCACTAGCTGACTAAGACACCTTCCCTCTTGCACAAACAGATTGACCTCAGTCTCTTTTAACAGTCGGCGACTATTCCATCCCATGGATGACCTACAACTTACAGCCTGCTCCCTGTGGGGGAGCACTCAGGTTTTCTCTAGACTTCTGTCTCTGCCAACGATGCTGCACTGAACGTTCTGTTCCCCCACTCTGGCCCCCGTGAGGCAGTCGTCTGAGGCCACCTGGGAATGCCCCCAGGCCCTCAGACCACGTCTCCACACTGCCTTCCTTTCCCTGGTGGAGCCCTGGTGGTGCAGTGGTTGAGAGCTACGGCTGCCAACTAAAAAAATGGTGGTTGGAATCCACCAGGCGCTCCTTGGAAACCCTATGGGGCAGCTCTGCTCTGTCCTACAGGGTTGCTACGAGTCGGAATCGATTTGACGGCAATGAGTTTCCTTTCCTTGATTCCCGAGGGCCATGGGGATTCCTTTCTTATCTCCTCTACCCACTCACTTGTGGGGTTTCAATTTCCTTCTCAGGGAGGAAATTCCAAGCCCCAGACCCAAGCAGAGGGAGCAGACCAAAGGAAACATCCCAGGATCGCCTTCCCCACCAGGCAGTGACAGAGACAGCAAGAGGGGGGCATCCCCCCGACCTGTGCCGGTGCCCAAGGTCACGATGACATTACCTTAGCAGAGGCTCTGCAAAGCCCTCCCACAGGCTCCTGGCTCCCCAAGGGCTTGTCTGGCTGCCGGGGGTGGGGCGGGGGTGACGCTCTGGTGCTCCGCTCAGTGTCGGGTAAGGCAAGACCACCGAGTCAGGATGCAGGCCACCGAGAGCTGGCTCCTGGTGAGACAGTGCCTCTGCCCCTCCCCATGTGTGTCACCTCGGAGCTTATTGTGACATCTGAGCCAGGTGGCCAGGGCTGCAGGGACTCCAGAGTGGGGGTTAGCAGCTCGGCACTGCTGCCGTCTGAAGAATGACAGAGGCCCATACGCCCCGGCCAGCCGGCCGGCTGACGGCAGGTCCTGTTTTGGCGGCCACCTTGTAAAGGGAGCAGGATGATCGGCTTTCTGCTAAACAGAGCAGGGAGCAACACTCATCCCTCCACCACACCCTCCGCGGCCTTGGCTCCCTGAGCTGGAGAACAGAGCTGCAGACTTTTCCTTTCACTTCAGCTGGTCCCTACCTGCATGGCCGGGGATGCCTCAGGGCCTCTCTCACGCAGCCAAAGGTTTGCAGGGTCACCCGACAGGTAAGCGGGCGCACGTGAACGTCAGCATGTGCGCAGAGCGAGACAGAAAGGGCTCTGTCCTGGCCCAAGGAGCCAAGCACCGGGGATCTTGCCTGAGGGTTACCTACGGCTGGACTTGCCCCTGCAGAGACCTGAGCGGGCGTGGCCTTGGTTCTGGGCAGGAGGGAGGAGGCACAGGGGAGCGGGAGAAGGGAACGCCTGGGGCTTCACTAGAGCCTCGAGGTGGAGGGACCTGGAGAGGTGGGTGGTGGCTTCAGGGTTTAGATCCACCCAAAACTGCGCCCAAGCCCAGGGCAAACAGGACTCGGGAAGGTGGGGCTGAAGCAATCACAGCTCACAGGCCTGAAGCTCTCGCCGGCTTTTGGAGGCAGCAGAATACCACGGAGCTGGGTCAACCTGGATTCGAGTTTTGACCTGCCACTTACTGACTGCACAACTTTGCACAAGTGACCTGCCTGCTCTGGGCCTCAGCTTTCTCATCTGTAAAATGGGGCTCACACCAGCCCTAGTGCGAGGTCTGGCCCGTCCCTCAGTGTCACCTCGTCTCGAGCCTTCCCCTCTGCTCCCTCTGCGCCAGCCACACAGACCCTTTTCCTGGTCCATTGCTAGGCTGAGGGCCTTTGTTCTCCCTCAGAGCCTGTATGATGGCTGCTCTCTACCTGTAAGGCATTCTTCCAGCTCCTCCTCTGGCCTTCGCTGACCACCCTGTCCAACGTCAGGTCATGTCCTTTATTTCCCTCACACCCACTATCTAATAGCTAATGTTTCCAGAGCACCCCTGTGGGCCCAGCACTATTTATGCACTTCGCAAGTCCTATCTCCTTCAACCTCACAACCACCTACGAAGAAAGGGTCTACTATCTCCCCCCATTTTACAGATGAAGAAACTGAGGCACAAGTGACAAAGCCACTTGGCCAGGGCCACAGTTAATAAGGGAAGAACCAGGGCTCGAACCTACGCAATCTGCCTGCACAGCCTGCCTTTGCCACTATGCTCTACTTCCTTCTCCTTGTGCTATCTGAAATCATCTTATTTGTTGTTGACTTATTTGTCTCCCCTGACTGACTCCTTAGCTCCACGGAGGTTAAGGCCTTTACTGTCCTCTGTGCGGATGTGTTCCCAGTGCTTGGAATACAATCTCTCTCTCTCTCTCACACACACACGCACTCTCTCACTGATCATCTCTGGAAGTTGCTAGAGTATCAACTCACTATTCTGAAAACTGCATTTATCTTGCCTTCACTGTACAAATGATACCTCAAGCTAACCAAATAGTTATGGAAGGAAAGTTCTTTTTAAGAGAACTCAACGAATAAATGAAGAAGGGATGATAGAATTGAGAACATTACCACTCTGTGACCCGTAACAAAATAATGGACCTAGGTAATGATCACAAATGGTTGCTAAAACCGTGAGGTGAAGAGCCGAGGGGAAACTTTCCAGTGACGGGCAGGCTGTCATCGTCTGTGCCCTCTGACCGCCCTCAGCATCGCTCAGAGGACAACCGGACGTGCAGTACCTCGTGATGGATGCGGACTAGGAAACTGGTCAAGATTCTGAATTACCAGTTTACGGGAAATACACATGCTAGAGGAATAGCTTAAAGGACACGAAAAAAAACAAAACAAAACAAAAAAACAACAAAAACCCAAACCTGTTGCCACTGAGTGAATTCTGACTCATAGTGACCCTAAAGGACAGAGGAGAACTGCCCCATAGGGTTTCCAAGGAGCAGCTGCTAGATTTGAACTGTTGACCTTTTGGTTAGCAGCCGAGCTCTTAACCACTGCACCACCAGGGCTCCCTAAAGGACATCACGGGGATGTAATCCACCAAATCCAAGAAAGGAGAACTCTAATGGACAAGTGCCCTGGTTTTTTCCCAAAATAAATTGCAAGGGAAAAAAAAAAAGAGTAAGGGGAATTTAAACACAGATTGGACAGTTCGTATTACAAAATTACTGCTTGACTACACCTAAAGTTTTTGGTCTCTATTGAGTAGCAATACATTCCAAGGTCTGAGACCGCTTCAGACAATCCAAGGTGGTCGTGGTAGTGACTGAAAACAAAACCAAACAGTGGCCATGTACTGAGAAGTGTTGCAACTGGGGGTTCAACATACTTTCATTACGTTTGAAATGTTCTCTTAAAGAAATGAAACCAAAGAATCCAACCCTCCACCAGCTTCCAGCTGCTCCTGCGATAAAACCCGAGCTCCTCATGGTGGTTCATGAAGCCCCACACAATCCACCCGTCACTTCTCTGTCCTGTTCTCCCGCCTCTCACCGCCTGTCACCCTGCCCCGGCCACGCTGGCTCCCTGCGGCCCCAGGAACACGCCCGCGCACTCCCACCACAGGGCTCTGCCCCGCCCGGTCCCTCTGGCTCGGAACCCACGGGCCCAGAAGCTCACACACTCTGACCACCCAGAGGGAAGTTCCCCTGTCCCACTCCTGCCCTCCTTTTTACCCTTCTGAGAACTCTCACAGCCTGGAGAGGCATTCCGGATCTCCTTACGTATGGCCTCCCTCCCTCTAGAACACAAATCACAAGACAGCAGGAACTTGATTTTGTTTGCTGTTGTGTCCCAAGCACTTTGAACAGAGCTTGCAAACAGTAGGGGCTTAATGTGTGCTGCGCATATGGGTGAAGTGAACGTGCCCCGTGTGCTTCCTCTAGAAAAGTGAACAATGAGGACACCCACCTCCTGGGGCTGTCGGGATAACACGCGCGTGAAGAGCCGAAACCAGTAACTGACACGGTAAGTGCTCAGAGACGCTCACGCCTGCCACAATCCCAGCGTCACCGTCCCTGTTGAGAAAGGGCCCGGCTCTCCCCCTCGACTTTGGCCTAAGTGACAGTGTCAGCGAAGCCTCAGGCCACTCGCCGGGAGCTGCCAACCTCCACCGCTCCTGCCCTGCAAGGGGGGTGCCTTACCTCCGGGGTGTGCCGTCGTCGAAAGGTGGGATGATGACCACCTTCACGGTGACAGAGGTGCGCAGCAGGTCGATCATCTGGTCGTGGGTCAGCGTGACCACAGCCACCTTGCAGATCTCCACCAGCCGGCTGCCTTGCCGGAGGCCGGCCTGCCAGGCAAAGCCGTAGTCCTCCACCTCAGCCACGGTCCCGTCGTACTTCACGTGGAAGCCCAGCTGCCCGAGCCCGTTCCGCCGCAGCGTCATGTCCACTGTCTCCCAGCCGTTGGTCATTACCTGCAGGCAACAGGAAGGACCGAGCCTCAGAAGGTGCTCTGGGTCAGCTCTTCTGGAAGGTCCCTGGTCAGATGCCCCCAGTGGAGGCCAAAGACCTTGCCGATTCCCATCTACCCTCCTAGGTGAGGTCTGCGTACCTAGAGGGTGAACACCCACTGAATCCTAGCCCAGGTTTCTAATTTCCAAAGAGTAAACATGGATATGGGACTACAACTTACCACCTTCCAGAGACTACGGCAGCCGTGAGCTGTGTTCTCAACCGTCCCTGCCTCCTCCTTCCTAGCACCTGGGGAGACTGTACTTCTTGGCCCCCTTGTGGCTGGCTGGGGCTGTGGGACTTGCTTTGGGCAATGAGTTGTGAATGGAATCGGCATGTCATCTGGGCTGGGGTCTTTAATTGCCAGTGTGAGACCCCCCCCCCCACCGTCGCCCTTTTCCTCTGCCACACTGACTGGCTGTCTGGTCAGCTGGGGTTCCAGGGTTAGGCAATGCAAAGCAAAGCCCCCGACTGAACCCAGGATGGGCATGTGATGAGCAAGGAGAAGCTTTGTGGTTCTAGCCACTGATGTTGTCTCCTGACTGACTCAATGTGTAACCAAAATAAGAGAAGCAACAGACAAGCATCGCTGGTATCTTTTCCAGCTTGGGGCCTCCAGCCGTATTCTCTTACTTCAGGATACTATTCTCAGAGGCACAAACCCCTTCCCATCTCCTCCTCAGACCTTCCTCCAACATTGAGCTGACCAGACCATGCAGGGCCAATCACTCACAACTTCATCTGTGGGACATTTTTCTCATTATAACGTTATTACCGTAAGATATGAGGACCTACCGAATAACCTCCTGTCCCTCAGCACGCTATCAGTGACCCCTCTTTTCCTGAGGGATGAAAAGATTAAAGTGACAAACTCTGGATATTAAGCAAGTCACTTGCACATCTGTCTACACATCAGACTACGTGTGCACACAGTAACATACACGCCCGCACACGCACACAAATCTTCCCATCTTCCATTCTCCGTTCTCCCCTTCTTCCTTTTAGTAATAAGGCCGCCATCGCAAAACAGGGTTCTGAGGGGCACGTGGCCTCCTCGTCAGGGACCCCATCCCCCGGCTTCGCTGGCAGCAGGCTGTGGACGTCTGACTAGGTGCTGACTGACGGGATGTGAGTGGCGGTGACGGAACTTCTACCTCCTGTTCTTACAGATGACACTGCCCCACACTCACTCTCCCCCTTCCCGTAGGCGAGAACGCGGACACGGGGTGACCCCGCTTTGACCATGCAGGAAAGCACAATCACCTGAGGGAAAGGAGAGGAAAGAGGAGCAACAATGTGGAAGGAATCAGGGTTCCTGAGCTGTCCCTGGCAGCCTCGACCAGCGTGAGTGCTGATTCCAAAAGAAAGAAACCCCAAACCCAAACCAAACCAGCTGCCATCATGGCAAACCCACTTGTGCAGAACAGAACTGCTGTACAGGGTTTTCAAGGCCGTGATCTTTGGGAGGCAGATTGCCAGGCCTTTCTTCCGAGGTGCCTCTGGGTGGATCTGAACCACCAACTTTTCAGTTAGTAGCTGAGCTCTTAATCATGTGTGTACTCCAAAGAAAAAGAAACTCCCATCTTATTTCAGTTACTGAATTTTTCAGTCCATTTTAGCAGGTCAGTCTGTAGCCACCTACCACAGCTATTTTGGATTGTTTTGTGTAGAGAACAGACAGGAGAGGAACCCTCCGACTGCTCTGTCTCTCGGTCCTGAAATTTCGGACCCGTGTTTTTTTAATTGTGGTAAAATCTGCGTAACATAAATTCTAGCATTTTAAACTGTATGGTCTGGCAGCATTTAGCA